TGAAGGAGGAGAAATGCCGGTTCGAGGAGTCCACAAATCAGTTGTGCCTGAGCTAGCCGCAACGGCAGAAAATAAAGAAAACTATTCTTCTGGGCAGCACAATGCTTTGGATGAAATTATTGCTGAATTGGCGAAAGCTAATGCCCCGAATGTCCAAAATGTACGACGTTTTGGAAAAATCGTTCAGGTGAATTTTAGTTTTTTAGTTGCAGTGTTTACGAATCGTCTTGTGATGTATGAGATTGTGTGAGAATTTTTGCAGACGCAGAACCGAGAGGATCTTCAGGATCCTTGGTGTGTTAGCTCGATGCGGAGCAGTTCTCAAACGTTACAATATGATAACGAGAACTACAAGAATGCTCTACTGTCGCAGTAAATGAATTTTTCTTTTTGTTTCAAATTAAAAAATTAAGCTACAAATTAAGAAATTAAACTTCAAATTAAACTTTAAATTAAACTTCAAATTGAAAAAATTAAAAAAATTCACTTCAAAAAAAATTCAAAAAATTTACTTCAAATTGGAAAAAAATGCTTCGGAAAGCGAAAAACTTCGCTACACTCGTTTGAAAAAATGCTGTTGACGAAAATTTCAGGCTCTGTGTATTGCTCCGTGTGGATTCGCTGAAGGGGATTCTTGATTACGATTTCAGTGGCGCAGATGTCCGTTGGAACTGTGAGCATACGGGACCGAAAGGGATTGTTCGGGTACCGCCAGATCAAGGTCCATTGTGGCTATTTTTTTTTTTTTTTTGAAATATTTTGGCTTCAAGATCCAAGAATCTTCACAAAATTGAATTTGTTGAATCTTAAATCTTTGAATCTCTGAATTCAATTTTTTCAGTTCGAATTTTAATTTCAGTTTTATTTTAGTTTAATTTGATTTTAATTTTTGATTAATTCGATTTCTATTTTTAATTCAGTTCAATTTTTTTGAATCTTTGAGAACTCCAAGATTTTTCGAAAATAGTCTTTTAATGCAGATTATCTCACAAATCACTTAATCACAATGATGCGGTATCTTTCGCGATGGCCTTTCGAGGCACAGTTTTCTGAGCCAGCACGTGTGCCCTATGAAGGTTTCGAGCTGAACGTTTTCAAAAGTGTCTGCGAGCAATTCGACAAAGATTGTCCGATGATACCCAGCTGTATCGCATTGTCAGTGCTTCACATCGTACGATTGTTTCGAAGAAGGATTTTCTTCAGAAAGAGTCCGCGTACGTCATACTTTAATTGTGTTTAAAGCGTGATTTTTCGACCTCATTTTCGGCCTCATAATATAATATTTTTTTTTTGATTTTTTTTTTTGTTTTTTTCCGGTTTTTTTCGGGTTTTTTTTCGATTTTCCGGTTTTTTCGTTTGATTTTAATTCGATTTTTTCCACTTTAAAGCCTCATAATTGAATGTTTTTTAAGCTAAGATGCAAAAGGAGACTGTGTTTGGCACCAGCAGTTCACCGGTTACACGCTATGTGCCGAAGCCAACTACCGCATTACTACAGGTATCTATACTTGGCCTTGCATTGTTTTTCAGAATTTTCTTATATTACCACTGATTTCTCTGAGTTTCGGATTTCTGTCGTATGTGTTAACCATCACTGCCTCGTCTTCAGTCATTGCTGTTCCCAGAAAACGTTGGGAATTCGCACACGTTTGTTGTACGATCGCATAGGATCCTCGTTTTTTTTTTAGACCAGAAACAGAAAAGATGGGCTACCTTCATCATCGGCATCAGCGCAATTCTCACGTGAAGCAGACCATGCCACGTCACCGCACAATGCAACCCGGTCAACGGTATCCACTCTATCTGCCGACAGCGACAATTTGTGTAAGTGAAATTGCCCCCCATTTTGAGAACAGTGCAGCTTTCATTTTATCGTTTTTGTTTTTTAAAATTTTCAAGTAGGAAAGCTGGGAGGCTAAATTCAGCTTATTTCTGAATTCAGAGGGGCAGAATTCAGAATTCAGCTTTTCGAGTTTCTAGCTGTTGCGCACGCGTGTGCAGCGCGTACGGCCACATCAAAGTTGGTACTATGTTATCTCGAAAACTTGCTGGAAAACAGTGGCTGAAATTTTATTAGGATCTTTTATTAGGGTGTTATAGGATGTCTCCTATATAGGGTGAATTTTGTCAGGATGTTTGTTTCGTCGTTGTTTTTATCTGTTTTGTCGTTTTTCTGCAGAGGTTTTTTGGTTTTTCTCATTATCGTCCAATAATTTTTCGTTTTTGCTTTTTTTGTCTTCATATTTTTGTTCATTTTACATATTACTCTTGTTTTTCTTCATAGTGCTGTAGGAACCGCTGTTTTTAGCCGGAAGAATGGCTTACGAAGCAGTCCTCTCTCGATTACCGGGTTTGCAGCGAAGTCCTGAACTGATGGAGCGCATCGAAGAACTGGCGTTAGCAAACACGCTTATGCCACGCTCGAGTACACCACGCTTGTCCGATTCTTCTCAGCTATTGGCAGGTCAGTGCTGTAATGAATGTGGGTCTTTTCGATGGTTGCTGAGTTAACTCCACTGAAATGGCCTCTCGGACGATTAATAGTATTATTCGGGACGCTGCTTCAATGGCGACCCCCTCCCCCCGGTATTGTCCACTCTCGAAATTTTGGAATTTTGTTCAGAATTGCACTTCAGGCATCGGCAGCGACGACGAGAAGTTGCTGAAGAAGGCGATTGCTTTAGTGATGTTAACGCTAGAGCCGCGTGTTCGCCGTCGACTGCATTATTTGCTCCGTTTTATGCTCCGTGTCAGCCGAAATCACTGTCTGCGAATGGATCAACAACAGGACAATCGTACACTTGTTAGTTCCTTCGTCATTCGTTCGCTCACTGGTACTGAATCCCTGCTTTAGACATGGGAGGTTTCGAAATTCAAGGATTGAAAATAGTTCAAAAAAAAATTCAAATTCAAAAAACTCAAGAAAATTTCAAAAAATTCGAAAAAAATTCAAAAAAAAACTCAAAATTATGATTCGAAATTTTGTTTTAGGTTCTTGGCAGCCTTGCAGATAAGATTGTTGGGCCTTTGGATGGAGTAAGTGCGTCAGATTGTCGGCAGTTAGTCATTTTTTTGATGGACAACGAGAGTGATGTGTTTACTGTACCGGGCACTCTTATCTCGGAAATGAAGTCGTTGCAACGTGAGGTGTCAAATTTGGTTTTCTTTCATATTATTTTAGTGAGTGGTCCTGAGTTTGTTCATACTGTTTTTCCGGAAAGTGATTTGGAGTTTGAGGCGTTCCGAATTTTTAAAAAAGTAGCTTTGAAATTTAGGATTTTTGTTTAGAATTTAGGACTTTTAGGATTTTTAGGATAGATGCATGAAACTAGGATAGTAATGCTAGGAATGTATGCATGAAATTCTTCCAGAGGGCCTCGAAAAACCCACTGATCGGGCATCAGCCTGCCGTTGATACACAGCCGTCCAGTACGGAGCGCATCAAAACACACTACTGTGAACCAATCCAGGCAGATGAGTACGAGTCTCAGAAGAAAGACGTTGACAGCCATCTGTTTGCTCTTCTCGAAAACATCCTTACCAGCGAAAGCTTATCGGCCCAGGACAAAAAAAGGCGTCTCAAACAGGTCGATTTATCATTAATTCGGTTGGGTTTGCTTCATCCAATCAGTTTCAGCTCATTATCGGCAATAATTGTTCCTCTCCTTAAAGGTATTATAAAATTTTCAGTTCAAGAACACGTACCCGGAGATTTATGCACGAAAATTTCCGGCTTCTGAGCAGTCAAAACCTGGACTACTCGAACGATTAAGAAGTTTTCGATTGTAGCGCAATCGCATTCAATGGTCGCCTAGTTTTTATCGTGTTTCTGTTATATATTTGTGAAATTTTTTGAGTTTTTTTTTTGTCAAATTTTGTAGGTTAAAACGTCAAATTAGTAAGTCATTTTGATAATAGCATGAAAACAAATCAGCCAACAGCTTATTTTTGAGCAGGCCTTTGAAGAGGGAGCCATCAATAACCCTTCCGGCGAGTAGTGGCTTTTGGCAGTTTTCTTCCACTTAGGTTGTGACCCCTCTCAGAAAGGCTGATGTTTTTTGTGAAATTTTGTCGGAATGGAAGATTTTTATGGAAGATTTTATGTCGCATATGCAGTTTACATGGAAGATTTTATCGGTTTTGTTTGAAAAACTTTTCATCAGTAAACTTGTTATTTTTTGTGATGCATTCTGTGATGTTTACTGTGAAATTGCGAAGAATACATGGAATGCGAAGATTGAGTTTTTCAGTTGTATTTGCGAAGAAACAAGAACAGTAATTACCATATTTTTTTAGCTGTACGATTAAAAAGTAGAACGGTTGAAATATGATTTTTATGCGTTTTGTATCGGTGAAAATTCTGTTAGTTCTGTGAAATTTTGTCGCATATACAGTTTACATGAAAGATTTTATCGGTGTTGTTTGAAAAACTTTTAATCAGTAAACTTGCTATTTTTTTTTGGCTTACTAGTCTGCTGTGCTGTTTGTTTCACAGGGTCACATGAGTAGATCTAGGAAAATTCCACTGAAGAACATATACAGAGAAAGGAGGTGAATTTTACAGTTGCATAAAAACTTTCTGGTCTTTTTTTGATAAACTTTTTTGATAATAATTTGATAAATTTTTTGATCGACGTTGCTTTGAATTATAATTTGCTCATTAGCCATTCAGGAGTGGGAAGAGGCTTGCGCTTGATTGAGGACTGGTTCTTATTGCATTTCATTCCCGGATGTGGAGTATTTTTTAGGTTTTTGGAGTATTTTTGATGTATTTTTGAGTTTTTTGAGGTTTACCCGTAACTGCACGACATACGAGGAGAACAGCTGGGACGGCTAGACTCATCCGCTATCCTGGAAGTCGTGGATGCGGGGAGCCCAAGGCCGAAGTTGATGGCATAATATAGTTTGAAGTATCAGTGCCACATGAGCTACCATTTGAAGTATCAGTACTCTTTGGCTGTTGATTCGCTAGACTTGGCCATTTCTCAGTTGATTAATCATACAGGCGGCCTTTCCAGCGGCACGGGCACCAGTTTTGCGGGAAGCCCGGGTCTGTTCTAGTTCTCGCACAGTTCAAGGATGGAAGGAAGCTCTCCCTTCCATCTCCCCTCTTCCCCTCTCCCCGCAAGAATCCCACTGTCCCCTCCGCTCCCACTTCAGCTTTCCAGCTTTTCCGGTTCCCGAGTTAGCAATTTTCTCGCCAGAAATTTTTACATGGCTATAGGTGGAAATCCCTGGGCAAGCGTGATACCCGCGCATGGGCCCGTCAAAATTATAGGTGAGCTGCTCCAGGTGTGCTGGGAGGCTGAAATTTTAAAGGGACATTCCCCGTCCACGACAGTCTAAATGGGCTTAAACCCAGCCCCAGGGTAAGCGTGGTACCCGCGCATGGACCCGCCAAAATTTTTTACGGGTAATCTGCCAGAAATGTTGGGAGGCTGAGATTTTAAGGGAAACATAAGGAATTCCTCAAACTGCATCAGTTCTAGCTCTTGGCGCCAGTGAACGAGTAACAGTAATGACCTGCTGTTCACTGCATAAACCGACTTGTGCGAATATCAGTCTGCGACTATTTGAACACTGGTGTGCACAACTAAACTGGAATAAGTAGTATGCCGCCCAAAATCCTCTTTACAGTCCCAATTTTGTCCAAAAAATGCTCGAAGATGGATGATTTCTTGACAATTTCAATGTAAAAATCGAATTAAGAAATCATGAAACAACTCATAACAGAGTTCAGTTTCGAGTCAAACAAAAAGCGACCTACCGGGAGTTATGCAACTTCCGGGACTTAAAAATGAACAAACGCAAATGCCCAGACAAAAAAATTGGCCAGCGCACGGGCTGCCCGTGCGAAGATGCGTTTTTTGCAGAGTTCCCTGCAGT